TTCCCCTTCCCCACCTCTAATATCATTAACTCACTGGCATTCACTTTCCTTCCCCCTCCCCCCACATCCCCCTTCTGTTCTGTAATGTGATTTGTCCTTTTCATGTGTGTTCATTTTTTTTAAATTGTATCCTTTGGTATATATGGTTGTGACTATTTTCTTCCATTATTTGATCTGAGGAAGTGGGTCTGGCCCACGAAAGCTCATCATCTAATAAACCATCTTGTTAGTCTTTAAAGTGCTACATAGTCCTGTATCTTGGGACTGGCATGGTTACACCACCAACACATAGGTCCCCTCTAGTCCAGTCTGTTACCCAGAGTGAGTTTGCTCCTTATTGTGCCTTTCCGGTTGCTCTTGTTTTCCGTGGGCCTCCTGCTTCCTGTGTAGGAGGCTGTTAGTTTAATACATCTCCCCTCCAATTCGACAATATCCTTCTGGCCCCAGGACTGAGCCCGGTTTTCCCAGTGCCGTCATGGCAGAGCTGTACAGAGAGAGACTGCCCCCCTCCCTGTCTCGGGAGCTGAGCTCTTTGCACAAGCTGGACCAAATTGTGTTGGTCTGTTTTGCTGCTGTGTTACGCTGCATGCACCTGTGTGACTTGCCGTCCCCTGGAAATGACAGCATCCCAGCTTTCTCCTCCTGGTCCATTTTGGAATATTTTTCTGCACATGCATTAGGTCCTCTCACTTCTGATTCTTCAGTTAATCTGAATCTTTTGAATCCGAAATCTCATCCCAAGCCACGGTGCTCCCCAATGCCAGTTGCTGCTCTCTCTCTCAAGCACTGCCACATGCAGGCCCCTCTCACGCTGGGCTGCATGCCAATGGTCCAGGCTTAACTCTCCAATCAGCCCCTGTGGTTTAGGAGCAGCCAGTATCAACTGGACCCCGGTGGGAAGGAGGAAGGTTACCTGGGGATATTTCTAACCCATACAATGTCGTTTTAGGCTTTGGAACAACCGAATACCCAAGAATATTGAAGAAAGTCTTACGAAGGAAGATGCCAGATTGCAGTTCACGTTCTTTTCATAAAGGAAGCACATTAAATGAGGAAGAGCTGATTGGGCAGGTACCATTAGCCCTATCCTGGACAAATGCACTAAAGAGGAGCCTAGAGGAACTAAGAAATCCAAATTCTAAAAATAAATAGTTCTAGCATTCTTGTCCAGGTCTTAGAACACAGAGGTTTTCATAAACTTTAATAATTATAATATAAACTGCAGACTAAACTTCCTCCGGCATTTGGTTGTTCTAAGGATACTCCCTGCAAGACCTCTGTACTCCTGGCCTTTAGTTCTCTTGACCTCAAAGAGATTTAATTTTTTATATACCTGTACTGAAGCCAGTAGGATCCTCTTGGTCTGACAGGGCAAGTCAAAAGAATAGCTCCATATCTTTATCCAGGACAGGACTCACCTGGTAGCAGGGTAAGTCAGAAGACTTCTGTATCCCAGTATCTCAGTGCGGTGAGCAGGATCCCGACACCCTGTCTGAATACGACGTGTGCTTCCCTCAGACAGTATCATTCCAGGGCCGGGCAAAATACTCTCCGCACACTTGTGACTGGTTTGAAATACGACTGTTCTGGATTTTGTTTTGATTCAGCCCTCTCCTGTGTGAGCATTAGCCTACTGTCAAGCAAGCAAAGACCAGTCTTCCTACTTTGATCACGTAAAGACCATGTTTCTATGAGAAAATACCCGTGTGGCTTAGCACAAAGTTGTGAATACTGTGAGTGATGTACTTCAGGGTGTGATCCAGGGAAAATTATTCCCTGTTTTCTTACTGCTTTAATAGTTTCAGTGGGCCTGCAAAGCTAAATGAGGCCTTGAATTTGCGGTTAAGGTGAAGGCCTGTGTGTGGTCTTTGAAGAAATGCTGCAATTGCTACATGGCCCCAATCCTGGGATCTGATCTGTGTGAGCAGGGAATCAAAGGATCTGCCCACACATCCAGTTGCAGGATGGGGGCCATGCTGTGCACCTTATGTACGCCCATTCGTTGCAATGAGAGTGACTGGCGTGTTTTGTACTGTAAATATTTAATCCCTGAAAGGGGTTTATTTATCAATTTGTTTACATCAGTGGTTTGGGAGCATCTTTCTGTTGTGCTAGAACAGGCAGAATGCTACAGAGCACTGATAAGTGAATGCTTAGCAGAGCACACGTATGGCTGCTTCCCACTGGCCCATGAAGAGTGAGTGGTGAACCCTTTTATTTATAGACAAAGTGTTATGTTTCCCCAGGTGCTTATTTGGGTTTATTCATATGGCTCCCTGGGGGGAGGCCAGGCAGGTTGCAGAGTGATACTCGGAAAGGGGATAGTTGGACGGGGTGGTGAGCCCAGAGTCACCAGGCCCCAACCGAGGAACACGGGAGCACGTGTGCCCGGAGCTCACGCGCACATTGAAGCACATGCTTCGCTGGATCGGGGCTCCTTCCTTTCCGTGTTCCCAGAGGTCACTTGCTTGATTTACAAATGAAAACAGGGTTTTCTGAATGGCCAGGGGCCCAGCAAAGCACACCTGGGTGGCTCTCGCGTTGCCCCTGCACTCAAGCAGCACCTGTGTCCTGCGAGTTTGAGTCCTGCCCTTCGCAGGGGTCTGAGACCGCTTGTTGGACACAACTGTTCTCTGCCCACGGGGCTCCCACACGTCATGGAACCGCCACCCCCTGCTGACAGCGAAAATTACCACTTGACTCCAGGAGCGGGGACTGAAGTCAGCCCTGGGCGGGGAGGCAGGAGGGAGGGAAGTGTAGCCACAGCCCACGGACTCAGCTGCAGGCAGGGGGCCTGTAATCTGAGCTCTGCCACCCTGGGCATTGGGACTCAGGCTTTACCCCTGAGTTCCAGCAAGTTTAAACCAGACTCAGCAACAGCATTAAAAGGGGGTCCTGACACACCTGGTGGTCCTGACCCACAGTCTGAGAACTGCAGAGCTACAGTCTCCTTCCAGAAATCTGGTGATCAGATTCACTGATTCTAATGGTCCCTTCTGGTCTGAAAATCTATGAAATTTAGGCTGGGAACCTAAAAGTCAAGTTGGTTTTTTCCTGTATTTTAAACCTGCATTGGTCAGTTTGTGCACTGAATTACAGAAACCCCCAACTTCCGACCCCCTGAGTTGCAACTCCTCACACTTACAACCATTTTTGGAAGTGCAGAAGGGGCTGAAAACGCCCCAATTTACGTCCTCAGCCCGCATTTATGACGGTGCACAGCGCCTATCGTAAATGAGGGTTCAAGTTATGATGCCCCCAACTTGCAACGCTTCCTCAGGAACCAATTGCATCACAAGTAGGGGGCCGGCTGCCTATACAGCCATAGTTTTGTCACCTTCAAAAGCAGGTTCTCTGGTTTTGTCACATACTCATTCTGTTTATTCCATGGGTAAAAATTACAGCTCTTGTAAAAACAAATTTCTTTGCCTGTTTTATCATTTTATCCATAACATTGTAACTTCTACATTTGGACATGCTCAGATTCTACTCCAGGTTATTTTTTTCTCTTATCAGTTGAAAAACTCACTGTTGTACATTTGTATACGTTGTAATGGAAGCATATGTGTGACTATTGAATAAAGAGCACCTGGGAGTCCGAAACAATTTGACTTTCTTTCACGTGTTCTGTTCTAGTTGGTTTCACTTCTGGTGCAGTAATTCACAACAGCTGCATAGAGGTCAAACCACTGTGAGGGCAAATGTTATTAACCATGTTTATGATGATAGTGTCTAGTGACAAACCAAGAATGGGGGGGAGTCCCATTGTGTTCGGCTAGTGTTGTAGAAACACAGCGAGTGTTGAGCAGTCTCTGAAAACACATGGGCTACGTTTAGACTGGCATGATTTTCCGGAAATGCTTTTAAAGGAAAAATTTTCTCTTAAAAGCATTTTCGGAAAAGCGCGTCTAGATTGGCACGGACGCTTTTCCGTAAAAGCACTTTTTGCGGAAAAGCGTCCATGGCCAATCTAGACATGCTGTTCCGCAAAAAAGCCCTGATCGTCATTTTGCAATCGGGGCTTTTTTGCGGAAAACAAATCTCTGCTGTCTACACTGGCCCTTTTGCGCAAAAGGGACTTTTGCCCGAACGGGAGCAGCATAGTATTTCCACAAAAACACTGAGAATCTTACATGAGATCGTCAGTGCTTTTGCGGAAATTCAAGTGGCCAGTGTAGACACAGCCATGGTAAATGGTCCCTCCCACGGAGAATTAAGCAAATGCAGTATTGCCATATAAATCAAGAGTTAATTCCATAAACAGCAACAGGTTGGCTCAAAAATAGTATTTTTTAATTATTTTGTTTTTTATTTACTTTCTGGTTCCTAATTTTTAGGAAGCACTTGGGTCAGATTTTCAATCTTTCACCCTCCCCCCCAACAGTAAAGGCTAGAAAAGTACTTTAAACCCCCTCCCCCACAAAAGCTGAGATTCTGATATATTCACGATTCCGAGAGTTGGGAATTGTCTCTACACAGCACCCTAAACTCCAAGTGAGATAGGCCATTTGCACTATGCAAGTTGTGTCTCTTATCTCGAATCTATTTCGAAATAGCTTCTTTTGTAATTTGGCATGTCTACACGGCACCAGATTTCAAAATAACGCATTGTTTCGAGCCATCCCTTAACCCTCATGCAGCAAGGTTTACTGGGATGGCGAAACAGCGCACCCGTTATTTCGAAAAATATTTTGAAATAATGGGCAGCTTGTGTAGATGTGGGGTAGCTATTTTGGGATACGTCCAGTATCCCAAAATAGCTGTGCAGTCTGGATGTACCCTAAGAACCACACCAAATATTGTGAGTCTCTGGCTAAAATTGCAAGAGCTGTCAACACTACCAAAATGTTAAAACAATCAAAGTTCATGGGAAAAAATCTATTCATGATAGGGATTATCCTACTTCCCTCTCTTAAATCTACCCATAGGAATTCACTAACCTGGAGGAAGGCTCTGTGTAAGCTCAAAAGTTTGTCTCTCTCACCAATGGAGTCCAGCAAACCCACCTTGCCTTGCTAACATCTTAGAACCAACATGGCTACAATAACACTGCGTACTCCTAAGAGCATCCTTTTCAGGATTCAAGACCAATCAAACACATGACCATCGCTGTCCTTCACACACAAGCTCATTCTGGCAGAAAAAGAAAAAAATGCCACATAGGGTATGTCTACACTGAAGAATTTTTTTCAGAAAAACAGCCATTTTTCTGAAAAAACTTCACTTATATCCACTCTGCAACTGCATTCGTTCAAAAAAAATTGGAAGAACAGAGGGCTTTTTCTGACCTCTTTCTATGAGAAGAAGCCTTTCGGGAAAAGGCGTGTGTGGACGGGGAAGAGGGAGTTCTTTCGGAAGAAGAAAGAGGAAAAAGCACAGGTGCCCTGGTGGCCACTCTGCCCATAGCAATCACAGCTTACATGCGCAATCGCTTTTTTGATGCGCTTTGGCAGTGTGGACGCTCTGTTTTGGAAGAAGTTGTTACGGACGATCTCTTCCAGACTAGCTTCTTCTGAAAGAAGCCTGCAGTCTAGACATAGCCCCCACGCCAAACCCTATTCTTTCCTAGCCACAAGGTGTCAGTGTAACCTAAGAGATGGGAGAGCCGTTCCCAAGCTAGAAACCTAGGACAAAGTGGTCACCAACCAATAGATCAGGATCCACTGGTAGATCTTGGAGCCTGTAACAGGTGACCCTTTCTGGTTTGGCCAGAGGCTGTCAAATGCCGGCCCTTCATCTACCCCTCTCAGCACTGCTGTGCTGCTCCTGCCCTCTGCCTTGGAGCTGCCCCTCACCCTAAGAGCCTCCTGCTAGCTGTGCAGGACACAGGAAGAAGAGGAGGGGGTGCTGATGTCAGGGTGCTCCTCCCTCCACTCTACCCCATCTCCACAGAGCAGAGAGGGGGCAAAGATGGAGAGAGTTTGCTGGCTGCTTTTGGGAGTGGTACAGGGCTAGAATAGGCATGAGCCTGCCTTAGTCCCCTGCACCACCACCCAGCAGCCAGCTGTAGTAAACAGTGCCCAGCTGGAGCCTGCATTCCAAATCCCTGCCCCAGTCCTGAACCAATCCAGCACCCCAAACCACTGCCCAAGCCCTGAGTCTCCCAGCACCCAAACTCCCTCTGAGAGCCAGCACCCTCAATTCTCTCCTGCACCTCACCTCCCTGCCCCAGGCTCAGCTCAGAACCCCTCCCACACTCCAAATCCTTTAGCCCACAATCAGAAACCACATCCCCCGCCCTCGCACCCAGCCCTCTGCCCCCAGCCTGATAAAAGTGAAGGAGGATGGGGAAGGGAGGGAGGATAGAGTGAGCAGGAACAGGGGGCCTTGGAGATGGGGTGGGAAGGAGGAGTCCTTGGGTTTGCGGTGGATCCTGGATTGCACTTAAATTCAAAAAGTGATCTCATGCTTAAAAAGGTTGGAGAGCACTGGTTTAGACGCTGTAGTTTGAACACCCACCTCCCGACCTCCACTGCCTGAAGTCAAGGCCTGTAAACTCTGCAGTAGAATGGACAGAATGGAATTTCTGCCCAAGGCCTCACCAGTCTGCAGAACAACTGAGGGTATGTCTACACTACAAAGTTAATTCGAACTAGCAGACGTTAGTTCGAATTAACTTTGATAGGCACTACACATATAACTTAATTCGAACTAGCGGAGCGCTTAGTTCGAACTAGGTAAACCTCATTCTACGAGGGCTAAGCCTAGTTCGAACTTACTAGTTCGAATTAAGGGGTGAGTAGCCCCTTAATTCGAACTAGTGGGAGGCTAGCCCTCCCCAGCTTTCCCTGGTGGCCACTCTGGCCAACACCAGGGAAACTCTATTGCCCCCCTCCCGGCCCCGGACCCCTTAAAGGGGCACGGGCTGGCTACGGTGCCCGTGCCAGGTGCAAGCCTGCCAGCACCCAGCCAGCAGACCCTGCACCTGGCACGGCACAGAGCCACCCACCC